GGGTATGTGTGTGTGTGCGTGTGTGTGTTACCACATCTCTTTGAAAGAGGAAGCTAGCTTTCCCTCCCCCCCAACACACACACGCGCACACACACACACAGACACACACACACACGCACACACACACAGACACACACACACACAGACACACACACGCACGCGCGCACACACACATACACACATACACACACACACACACACACACACACACACACACACGCACACACACACACACCCCCCCATCCTCTAATGCTGGAGAGGTGACCCAGGGCTGGCTGCCTCTAGACGACTCCTGTAGCTGTACTTGGGCATTCACATTTCCTTCTTCCTTAGCGTCTGCCTCATGGGAAAAGACACTTACAGAGATTGAAGAGTTTAATACATCTCCCTCTCCCTCTCACTTTACTGAGGCTCTGAGAGGGCGGAAGCTGCAGCTGCAGCTGCTAAGGCCTGTGGGGGGCCTCCGGAGGCGGGCGAGGGGGATCATGGGGGGCATTGATTTCAGAGGTGCCGCTCTCCAGTGGTGATGCCTTGCAGAAGCCCCTTGACAGATGTGCTCATCTCCCTAAAATGGGGTTGGAGGATGGTCCCCGCCCCTCCTGATTTTTGGTGCTTAGATCTGCTGAGGATCCCACACTGGCCACACGGCTGAAAACTGGCCTCCTAGGTGTCAGGGGGAAGAGGGGGGAGGTGGGGGGTTATTTTTTCTGATGGAGAACAAGGGCCCTCCTCATCTTGAGCCCCTTCCCACAGATACTCCCCTGGCTGGGTTGGATTCCTGGCCATGGTACATGCATCTCCTGTGCTTTCTCCACTCTGCTGTAAGAGGTGCCCCTGGGGCAACCTTGTTCCCCTTCACCAGGCGGCCTTTCTGGGAACATTAACTTTCCTTATTTCACCAGAGTCAGGCAAGGACTCGGGGAGTTCAGGTGGGCACTAGGCTGCACTGAAGATTTCTTCTGGGCTGTGCTGTGCAGAGCAATAACTCTAAACGGATGGTGGCTTAGATTTGCTTTGAGTTATTTAGCCAACAATAGATGTTTATGTATATATTTTCTAGAACTTGTATTTATTAACAGCCTGAAAAGGAGGAGGATGGGAAGATTTATACAGAAGGAGTAGGGAGTTAAAAGGGACAATTAGAGGAGCAGAAAGAGATATTGAACAAGGAATTGCAGAGGATATTTTAACACACAATCAAAGGTTCTTGAGATATTCTCTGAGCAGACAGAAGGTAAAAGGGAAAATTGGCCCATTACGAACTGATGGGAGGGAATTGGTGACATGGGATAGAGTAATGGCTGATTGGTTAAACAGCTAGTTAGAGGCTGACTTTTCAAAGAGAAGGAAGATGGGGCTGGAGTTGGAGTTGGGGAAGAGCCAGACAGGGAGGAGATAAACATAGGGAATGACCGGGTCCACTTCAGCCCAGAAGCCGTAGTTAGAGACGAGAGACAAATCCGTCTGGTTCCAAACCCTGCTGCACCCGTGGGGAGTGGGGAGGACAAAGGGGAGCCCTGTTGTTTTCTTGCTGATGGTCTGAGATGAGGGCCCAGACCAAGCACTTCTCCCTGGCCAGGGTCAAAAGCCCCTTTCCACATTGGTGTCCACTCTTTTTTTTCTTTTCTTCAGTTTTTGTTCCTCATTAAACCTAAGCACCAAAAAGGAGGTCAGGGCTACCCTCCATCCTCATTTTAGGGAAATGGCACATACTCCGAGGGACCACCGCAAGGTTTTGTCTTACATCGAAAAGCTGTGCGCCTCTGAAATCAATGCCCCGCCCCCCCAACCCCCCCCCATTCCCCTGCCCCTCTCCAGAGACACCCCACAGGGCTTGGAAGCTGCAGCTGCAGCTTCCACCCTCTAAGAGTCTCAGTAAAAAGAAAGGAAGAGAAGGCTTTAAAGCAGGAATTCCTAGCCTTGTTTTTGTGTCATGGAACCCTTTGGCAGTCTGATGGACCCCTTATGGGAATGATATAAATGAAATATAAATAAATATAAAATAAAATGCATGGGATTACAAAGGAAACCCATTTTGATACAGTTATCAAAAAAAATTTTCCAACAGGTTCATGCATTTCATAAGGTAGTCATTGTGAAGATCAACAACATATATAATGTTTTGCAAACCTTAAAGCACTATAGAAATGCTAGCTGTGATTATTAGTGTCAGAGACAGGATTTGAACACAGGTCTTCCTGACTCTGGGTCCAGTGCTATGGCCACACTGCCTCTGCTATGGCCAGCCCCTGCTAGAACAAGCCTCTCCTAGACAACGTCTCCAAAACACGGCTAATGAAAGTTGTTTGGCATGTCTGTACATATTTGTAATGGATTTTGTTTTTCTTGCCTTCTCGGAGAATTAGAACTGGAAATAAAATTGAGTTAAAAAACCCCAAGTTGATGGACCCCAGCTTTAAGAACTCCTACTTAGGAGGCTTTCTTGACAGTGGCCTCAAAGTGTGGCTGATGGTGGGCTGAGAAGCGAGCCAGACTAGCCTTCAATGCCCTCCACCATTCCCAACCAGATCTCTGCTAGCTGCAGTCAGTTGGTTGACTCTTTTCCTTCCAGCCAGGCGAATCTGTGCCCTGTTCCCCACCCCCCACACACATGTTCCTCCCTCTACGCCTTTGCTGGTATCTTTTCTCTCACCCTTGACACAACCTCACTTTCAGGGTCCAGCTGAAGCCCCACCTCCTCCTCGAATCCTTTCTTGGCCAGCCACCCCCACCTCCTGAATGCCTGTGTCGCACTTGTCAGCAACCTTGGATTGTTATCCATTTGTTCAGATCTTGACTCCCCACCCAGACTGCAGGTCCCCTGTCTCTCATACTCTTGGATCTCCCACGAGGAGGTGCTGCCTTGTGCTCAGCTTGGTGGAGATGCTCAGTCACGTCACCGCATCAGCCCACAGCACTGTTAGGGTGCTTGGCTCCTCTGTGGTAAACCGCCCAGAGCAGAAGGGTAATCAAGGGGATTACTGGGAAGGGCTATGGGCTCTCTTATTAATCTCATTTTTGATGATCAGGAAGTCCCACATGAGCTGGAGGGGGCAGGGTTGGCAGATGGGCAGGTGCCTTTGACGGGTGGTCATACTGGGGAGAAACTGGTACAGATAGAGAAGCAAAGTGAAGCAGAGGGCTGCTTCAAAGAGAGAGTCATTAGCAAATACGTCCTCTACTTTGAGAAGCAGCAGGTGTCTGGGAATGGGCCTCCGGCCCGGATGGATTTCTGGGGAACAGTCCCAATTTGTTGGCACAGATGGAAGGCTCTGCCTAAACAGAAGATGGAAATTTTGATAGTGAAATGCTGGCAAGTGCCAGGGGAGGGGGAGGGATGTAGCATGTGTGCTACTGGGCCAGCGTTTGGAACCATGGTGAGGGGAGTCCCACATCTCAGGGCAATTCACCCAAGTAGAAATGGGCCATAGTAGGGAGCAGGCAGGCAGAGATAGGGGGCTGCCTAAGAGAGGGAGGGTCACGCAACTCCGAGTGGCCGATGGCAGCCAAGAGCTTCCCCAGGCCCACCCAACTCCCTTTCATACTGTCTGCTGAGAAAAGAGGGCTGTTAAGGGAAGGGGGAAGGAGAGAAAGGTTCAGACAACAGGAGAGAACTTCCAGGGGAGGGAGACAGAAGCTGGAACAGCACAGCCAGGGTCTTTCACGATGGAGCGCCCAAGAGAATAGGGGCAGTGTCCAGGGATGCCACAGAACCCAGAAGCAAACCCAGACACCCCAAGCTTTAAGCTTGGATGAAGAGCTGAAGGGGCGGCAGCCAGGAAAAAGGATCCCTGAGTCTGGGGGGCAAAGGGGCCCTCGCTTATCAACCGGTTTGTCATTTTACTTTGAGTTTGTTGGCAGTCAGGTCCTCTTACTGCTCAGAATATAAGCTGTTGACTGACAAGTGATGTAATGCACAGAGGAGTTGACTTTATTTCCTCTACCTCTTAGAGGAAAAGCTACTAAAAATATAACTTGGGTTCTGGGCCCCACTGCCTCACCTCTAATAACATTCGGCCATGAGAGTCTGCTGTGCCTGATGGGGCTGGGTCATTTATAAAACATTAGCATCTCTTGTACTGACATTTCACTTTTTATATTACAGGACTTACCAGGTGTTTTAAAAAAAATTAATAAAGTGCTTATAGCCTTCATTTTCCCACCGAGAGCCTTGATGTCCAAAGTTGGAAATGAAATAAGGAACGTAACAATATCCTCTGTTTGTAAGGGATGGCCGGGACTGTTGCATGGCCACCGGTTAGAACAGGGGGACCCCTGGGGGATAATTACAGACTGTAGATTATTTGTTTTGGCTTCTTTGGGTCTCCCTTTAGTGGAAGTCTCAAGTCCTGTAGCCAGGATTTGACTGTCCAGATCTGAGGCAAACTATTCCTTCCTTCCTTCCTTGCTCTTGGGGCACCATTTACTTTCTCTTTAGCCTGAAGAGTTGGAAGCATCTATCCATGAAGCTGCACTCCCTTGTCCCACCGCTATAGGTGAGAGAATCCCTCCCCTCCAGGTTTCCCACATTGGGCTTTTCTATGGCAGAAGCATAGCATTTCAAGCCTCCAAAAAGAGCCCCTGCTGCCCCAGGACCGGGCTGTCCCCTTCCAGCCATGGGGACCCCCTGGGGCGGATAAGCCTCAACAACAGTGCCAGCTGGTCCCAGGCTTCTGGGCCCAGGCCAAAGAGGAACCAGGAGCAGCCTGTTCAGCAGAGGGACAGCAGAGGCAGTGCCGACCCAGCTCAGGCAGCGAGTGGGGAGTGAATCATGTTCTGTGCGAGGGAAGATCTGGAAAACAAGTGGCTTTTCTGTCTTTTTTTTCCCCCCTCCTTCTCTTGCCGTCCCTATGAGTCAACGTGCCCTGCTCCACACGTCTCTAATTCACCAGCAAACGTGCCATTTTCTCAGCGCTATGCCCAGGCTCTGCAGGCCCCACACAAGCCCAGAGATCTGTCACTCCTTCAGGAATGTTGGGTTAGGAAATGAAAAACAGAGCTTTCTTGTCCAAGATAATTTTTTTTATTGTTTTTCTCTCCCTAATTGGATTCAGTGTTTCTTTCCTTTTACACCCTCTCCGAAGGGGAAATTTGTGTTTGCTGTTTGTGCAAAATGCAGAAAAAATATCAGCAACCCTCATGTTTGGGGGGGATGAGGTGGGGTTGTGCTAAGTTGGGGGGGTGCTTCCAGCCTGTGTTGGGATCAAGGATAGAAATGGACCCTCATCCTACCCTCTCTTCCCTTCCCTGTCTTCATTCCTCTTACCTACAGCAGGTTTTTTCCATTCAGTATTTCTAATCTTAAAATCTCCTTAGTCTATTAATCAGGAGACATAACTCTCAAGCAGTGTAAGAGTGAAGGCCCCCTCTTCTTCTTGAGTCTAGACCAGTATCTGAGGTCCCCATTACTGCTAATGCCTTCCCTCTGAGATTACTCCCCGCCTTACACAGTATGTATCTTGCATGGACATTATGTGCCTGTTATCTTCCCCATTAGAATGTAAGCTCCTTGAGGTCAGGGACTGGCTTTGCCTTTCTTTGTATCCCCAGCATTTAGCACAGTGATGCTTAATGGTGATGTATCTGCCCCCCCCGCCTAATCCCCTTCTCTACTAGGGTTCTCTCCCCAAGTCTTAAGGAATGTCATTGGTTGGGTTGGGTTAGGTTTAACGACTGGGTATGAGCCTCTGTGCTCCTGTCCTCTTGCCCTCCTCGTAGGTGACTTCTAGGCTAGCTACACTGTCCACACCTGTTGGACTAACACTGTTTAAAACGGCTTCACTTATAAACAAAACGACCCTCTTCCTTTCCCCTTCCTCACTCTGTTCATTCCCCAGGGACCTGGTTCATTAGGAAGCCCACAAGCTGTTGGGTTTTCTTTCCTTTTCTTGGGCACAGAAGCTGTTTCAGGAGGTGTCAGGGAGTGTTGGGGGCAGGGAGGGGAGGTAGATGGGAATTCATTGCATATAAAAAGTGCCCTAAGCCACCAAGAACATTGGTCCCCTGAAGTGATTCTTGCCACCTTCCAGTTCCTCTGCAATCACCCCCTTACCTTGGATTGAGCCAGGGTCAGATTTTGTAAATATGGCTACCAAGTTTTTCTAGACCAAAAAAAAAAAATTATAGAACTTTTTCCCCCACTAAAAATTGACCAATACAATCCTTAGTTTCAGCAGGTATCATTTCCTTATAGTTTATAAACATGATATGAGATGTACAGTTTGATAACTGAAGGGGGAAGGCCTGTGCATTTATATATATAGAAAGAGAGAGAGTATATATATATAAGTGAACAGTTAGGAAACCCCACCTTCTGCAAAGGCCTTGTTTCTCCCAGGGAAGTCCTAAATTCCAGCCTCTCACAACCTTTCCTTTGGTAGGTGGCCCCTCAGGAGCCCAGCAATGAAGTGCTATAGGCCAGCGTCTCCTGAGACACAGGAATGTGAGAGGCCTGAACCCCACGAGGCCGCGGGGGTCCAAGGATTGTACGTGTGAGGGCCATCCGCTGGGTGGACACGCTCAGGACTTCCGTGGTCATCCTCAATTCTCGCAGAGCCGTCTTGCTCCATCCGAGAAGTGTAGGGTCTTTCCAACCCCCTTAAAATTAACAGGATTTTGTAGAGAACACAGCTGTGTGTGTGTTTGTTCATTTGTTGCTAATGAAGGATTAGCTTGTGTCTTTAAAAAAATCTTTTTTTTAAATCTCCTCACTTGGGTTGGCAGTTTCAGTGGGTGCTCGGACAGGGCTGTTTGTGACAGCTGGGTTGGTAATGCCTCTAATCCCCTTCCACTGTGGGTGCTGTACAGTTTTGGGCTTGATAATCCACCGGGCCGTGGACAGAGACTGGCCAAAGCCTCCGCCATCCTTTCCCTGGAACCGGCAAATCCTCCATGTAGAAAAAAGAAAAAAGAAATTCTGTTCCTTTGTAGATAGGTGGCAGTGCCCTGTGCCAACTGCCCTCCTCAGCTATCAGCGGAGGGTAACCGCCAGCACCAGGATCCACGCCAGGAGGGAGGCCCTGAGAGCGTTGCCCCTGGAGGCCTGCTGTACCCCACTGGGTGAAAGGATGGGGGTCCTCCGGGCGCATTTGCCCTTCTTTTTGGGGCGTGCTGTGGGCATCATGTCAAAGTTGAACTTGTGGTGGTAGTCCGGCACGTAGTCCTGGACCTCGTGGCCGTGTTTCCGGGCCCCACCAGCCCCCGGTTTGGAGATCTGGTTCCGGTTTCTGTAGTTCGTGCAGTTCTTTCCAGACTTCTTGGAGCCCAGGCGGGAGCCAGGCTGGTGGCCGTGGAAGCTGTGCTGGGACCCCTTGTCCTTGGGGCCACTGTGGGGGGGGTGATGCTCCTTGCGAGCTGCCCGGTCGGTGGTGGTGAGGGTGTGGGATTTGAGCTGGTTCAGAGACTCAACCCCTGTACAGTTCCTGAAGTCCTGGGCCTGGAGCAGCTTCAGATCCCGGCCCTGCAACGTCTCGGGAGAAGCACAGAGCACACTGGAACTGGAGCCCCGGAACCTCCGCAGCCACTCCCACAGTGACCGGGCCCGGCAGCCGCAGTCCCAGGGGTTCCCGTTGAGCCGGAGAAACTCCAGGGCCCCCAGGGAGGTGAGACAGTCCCCCTGAAGTTCAGAGAGGCTGTTGTTGAAGAGGAAGAGGGTGGTGAGTCTCTGGAGGTCGTGGAAGGCCCGGTGCTGCACCAGCCGCAGCCGGTTCTCGTGGAGGAGCAGGCGGTCCAGGTTGACCAGTCCCCGGAAGGTGTTCTGGGCGAGTTTCCAGAGTTTGTTGCCGTGGAGGAATAAATGACTGAGGTTGACAAGATCCACAAAAGTGTCGTCCTGGAGAGACTCGATGCGATTGTCCTGCAGGTAGAGGTACTGGAGGCTGTGGAGGCCACCGAAGATGCCCGCGGGCAGGGAGCTGAGCCCACACTTGTACAGGTAGAGGGCGTGGAGCTTGGCCAGGCCCTGGAAGGTCTCGGGGGCCAAGGTCCGCAGGTGGCGGTTGTCTCCCAGGTCCAGCTCCTCCAGGCGCACAAAGCCTTTGAAGGTGTCGGGGTCGATGGAGGTGATGTTGTTGGAATAGATCCAGAGGGTGACCATGGAGGGGCTGAAGTGGCCGGGGAGGAGGAAGCTGATCTGGTTATTCTGCAGGAAGATGCGCTCACTGTCCTCAGGGATGCCCTCAGGGATGGTGGCAAAATTGTGTGCCTGGCAGCTGACGGTCATGGGCGCAGGGTAGCACACACAGTCCACGGGGCAACAGATGCCCGCCTGGAGCTCCAGACCACAAAGCACCAGGAACAGCTTCACATAGTGACCTGTGCGGAGAGAGGAGAGCCAGGTCAGGGGGCTCTGGAGTGGGCAGGGGCGGGGCAAGGGGAGGGCCCAAGCACCCTCTGCTGAGAACCTTCACCTTTGCTTCCCACCCTGGCACTGGCTCAATTACTTAGCATACACCTGCCCACATTCAGGTCAGTCAGTGGGCCCATCCTTCCCAGAGCCCCCAGGTGGGGTGGAGAGAGAGGGGAGCGTTTAGAGATTTGAACCAGAAGGGAATTTGGGGGTCAGCTAGGTTGGAGGGAGTGGGAGAAGAGAAGATACAGGGCATGGGCCAGCTGGGCCCACCCCAAGGTAGAATGGGTAAGTCTCCACCAGGCCCAAGGCTCCATGTCGTAAGGGTACAGCTCTCTATCCTACAGCCTTGTTGTGGGAGTCACAGAGATGTAGAACCTCAGAGGTAGAAGGAAACTTCGTAATCACGGAATCCAACCCATCCCCAACATCTCCCTTAGCTACTGGGATGGGGAGGAGCACCAGCTCTGAAGGTCCTCTACCCCCACTCCCCACCCAGGGCCTCCACATGGGGGTCCCTTTTTGTAAACAGGGAGAAGCAGGCCGTACGAAGTCTCATCCACACCAACATTAGGGGGGGTTGGAGGAGAGCGGGGGGGGGGGGGGGGGCCTTGTGATAAATAGGCCAAGGCCCTCAGAGCTGGAGCTGCTGGTCCAAATGACTCCCAAGTCTGGGAGGAGCTCCTCTTCCTCCACACTGACTCTCAGTCCCCTGGCTAGGCCAGAGGCCTCACTTTGGCCACACCTATCTCAGGAGAAGAATGTCAAAGGGCCAGAAAATATCATAGGGGAACTTTCCTGGAACACCAGCCCCAGCTTACCGCTGGGGGGGCGCTTCCCGGTAGCAGCGATAAATGGTGGCTGACCCTCACAAACAGCTGCTGTCTCTCTGCTCCCCGTGGTCCACTTTCCCCTCCTCATCCTCGCCTTTGTTTTCCCTTCTTACACTCACCCCATGCTCCCTGACCGTTAGCAGTCCCTACTCCCAGCTCCATTTCCCCTGATGCTCAGCCTTCTTGCCGGCCCTGGCTGTGGTGAGCACTTGCCCCTGTCCAGAGCACTTCCTCTGTAGTTCTTTCTCTAATTGGGCATTAATTAGGCATTCGTTAATGGATCCTTAAAATAATTTATTTTCGGATGTGTCCAGCCTGTGGTCTGATAATAGCCCTACGCTCATTATTAGACCGGCCTCATTACAAATGTTCGTCATTACCTGCTACTTTCCAGGGTGGATCAGCCGTTATGGTAAGTGGAGATCTCCTCCTGTTACATTCTTAATGAAGGAGGGTTCTTTCTCTCCACAGAATTTCCTTGTTAGGCAGCTTTAGGGGGAAGGGGTGGATTTCAGAACCTTTGTCTCACCCTCTTCTACCCCCACCCCAGCACAAATAATAATGACTACAGCTCATACTTTAGATGGCTGGTCAGAGGTTACAAAAGCCTTTCTGTCAGCAGCCTGGGGAGCCAGCCTGGACACAGTCTATCCATCTCGATTTCATAGATGAGAAAACTGATGAGAAACCCCCTGGGTTTATTGAGTCCTTGGAGCCAGGCTGTGGCAAGACCTGACTCTTCCCTGACTGATTCCAGTGTGGAGCTCTCTATTTACCGCTCATCTTGATTTATCATAAGACAAATACCATGATTGGAGTTTAGGTCCAGATCTGAGATTTCACCGGTGTAGATGAAATTCCAGTATGGAAACCCCCTCCACCAATGCAGACAGGCAGCCGAGCCGTCTGTAACTTCATAATCCTATAGAATTGCCTGGCACACCAAGAGGGTCTTTAGACTGTCCATGGGCACTGCATTCCAAATGAACTGGCCATTCTCCCTCCAAGATGTGCCGTCTCCTTCATGGAACTGCCCGAATGCCTGGAACTCCCTCCCTCCCTCCCCACCTCCACTTTTGGGCCTCCTTCAAGGCTCAACTCAAATTCTGCCTCCCAAAGGGTGCAGATTCCCCATCCTTCATGCTAATTGGGCTTCTCCCACTGAAACCGCTTTATTTATGTCTGCTGTATGTCTATTTTGTATATGAGGGGTGAAGAGCTGGCCTTGGAACCAGGAAGAACTTTGTTAAGTCCAGGGTCAGACACATACTGACCGTGAAACCGGTCCTCTCTTAGTCCTCAGAGTGGGTGTTAACCTGCATTGGTGAAGGGAGTTTCCTCACCTGGGAGGTCTCTCTACCAAGGAACAGGTCTATGCCTATATATGTATGTGCTAGTTCCACTGGGGCTCTAGTTTTTGTCTGTCTCTGCAGTGCCAACCACACTTCTGGCAATTCTTTGGTGCCTAATAAATGTTGAATGAATGAATGAATGAATGACTAACTGCCTTGAGCACAGGTCTTCCCGACTCCAAATCTAGTTCTCTGTACCTACCCCACACTGCCTCCCTCCAAGTTTTATGACATTTTAAAAATGTGCATTTATAGAAGGGAATGGGAAGGAACTTCACAGAAATAGTGAACTCCCACTCCCAGTACAAGTCGGCACCTTCTCTGAGGCAAGGTAAGCGTGCGCAGGGCAACACAGCCAGTTGAGATCAGAATCAGGACTAGGTTTCCCTAGGTGGGTGGAATGGAGACGTTATGGAAAGTCGCCGTTAACGTGGGTTTCTGCTTGTCTTCCCTCCTTCTCCAAGGAGTTCACTCAGGAAGGCTGCCTCTTTGCTTACCCCTGGTGCCTGATGATACTATCCATAGCCTAAACTGGGGGAAGGGGGGAAGGAGAGACTCTCAAAAAGCCTTCGGGTCCCTCTCCCCCTTCCCCCCCATGTCCAAGGCACAGAGCTAGGGATCTGAGTACTTAAGACATACTGGGGAGCCCCCACATGAGGTTCTCCCTGGTGTCCCTCCTACTTCTGAAAATCACCCTCCCACTCTCCTTGGGTGGAAGGTGTTGAGCGAGTGAGGGTGAGGAGCGGCACTCTCCACCCCTACCCCTCACCTTCCTTTCTCTTCCTGGGCTCTCTGGGGCTCCCATCAAGCATGGTGACCTCCCTAGGGAGGTTCAAACCCCCAAAGCCTGGAAGGTGTATGTGAGCAGGGGTGGGGGACAGGTCAAGCCTTAGTGCTCTCTCCCCTCCCTTCTTCCATCTTTTTCTCCTTCTCTCCTTCCCTCTATCCTGCCCTCCTTCCATCCATCATTTCTTCCTGCTTTCCTTCCTTCCTTCCCTCCTTCCCTCCATCCTTCCTTCCATCCTTCCCTCCTTTCCTCTCTCCTTTCTTCCTGCCCTCCCTCCATCCTTCCATCCTTCCCTCCTCTCCATCCTGCCCTCCTTCCCTCCATCCTTCCTTCCATCCTTCCCTCCTTCCCTCTCTCCTTTCTTCCTGCCCTCCTTCCATCCATCCTTTTTTCCTGCCTTCCCTCCTTCTTTCCCTCCATCCTGCCCTCCCTCCCTCCCTCCTTCCCTCTCTCCTTTCTTCCTGCCTTCCCTCCTTCCTTCCCTCCATCCTGCCCTCCTTCCCTCCATCCTGCCCTCCTTCCCTCTCTCCTTTCTTCCTGCCCTCCCTGCCTCCTTCCCTCCTCTGCTCGGCCGGCTCCAGGCCCTGCCCTCCGCTGCGGGCCTCTCTGCTCCCGCTGCCGCCCCCCTCGTTTGCTGCAAACGGGCTCGTAAATAGGTGACAGCTCCCAGCTGTTGGGAGTTATGGGCTCCCGGAGAGTGACAGCTGCTTCCCGTCCCCCTCCCCCCGCCCGCCATCCCCCGCTCCCGCCAACAGAACGTTTCCAGCCCATAAAAATCATCGCAGATCATTGGCTTTGTGCATAATCGGGTTAAGGCGGCCAGCTTTCAGCTTTGGGAAGCTGGGGGAGCTGCGCACCCACCTCACGCCTGGGCCCCAGACCCCTCCGATGCGCCGGCCTTTCAGTGGGCAGTCAGTACGGGGACCGGATGGGGCGGGAGGAGGAAAGAGATCTAGCGGGTGGGGGACCAGGAAGGGCTGCTCCTGCCCTCCCCCTCAATTCCTTTTGAGCTGGGAGGGGCCTTGGAGATCACTTCACCCAAACCCCTCATTTTACAACTGAGGAAACTGAGGCCCGGGGAGGGCCAGCGGTGTACCCAAGCTCACACAGCCCGGATTGGCACCCACTCGCACACAGAGAGCTTGGCAAATCGCAAAGCAGAGTCAGAATTTGAATCCATATCGCTTGACACCAAATCCCACGTTGCTGTCTCCCGGGACACAACTGAAAGTGAGTTTCAAGGTCATCTATTCCAAGCACGGAATAAACCTCAGTCCCCTTTGCAAGATTTCCCCATGACTTGTCCCCCATGGCCTTTGCTTGGAGACCTCCAGTAATAGGCAGCTAATTACATCTTGAGGCAGTCTATCCACTCTGGGGCAACTGTGAATGAGGAAGTGTTCACTGAGCTCAAACCTCCTTCACCACAAACACACTCAAATCAATTCACTGAGCGGCACACGCAAGCACTTCTCATAGGGAGAACACAGTGCTAGGCACTGGGGGGAGAAAAGATTAGAGAGGAGTCATTAAAAAATGCTTTACTGAATCAACAGGGATTTGGAATCAGGAAGACCCAGGAGCCATCTTGCCTCTGAGTCTCAGTTTCCTCTTAATAGAGAAGAGAGTCTCTGCTCTCTTCCGGTTCATAGTCTAATAAACTCAGAATCTGTTTGGGCTGGAAGGACCTCAGAAATGGTGGAGCCCTTCTTTCCACAAAAGCCTCCTCTCCCCACCCCAGCTCTGCCTTTGTTCTTGGGTAGGGTGTGTCAACCCGCTTCCAGTGGCTTCCATCACCCCGGTGACTTTCTGGACCAAACAGGCCCTCCTTTCCTGGTCACTACGGTTTTCCCCCATAAGGCAGGGGTTGGCTTCCATTTTATATTTATGTGCCTGGTGCTAAATAGAGAGCTTGGTGAGTGTGAACACAATACATGCTTTTTCATTCTTTCAGTCATTCATCCATCTGCCCAATAAAACTTTTTTACAGAACA